AGGCCGTGGCATGGTTACCTCTAGGGCTCCACCTTGCACCTTCTTGATGCCGATCATTTTCAGCTGCAGCAAATCATCAAGCATCACTACGGCGTCCACCACCATCTTAGCGAAGAAGGCTTTCTGCTGCGAGATCAGCTTGGAGCTCAGAGCGGTCATGGCACATTTTTGTAGCAGCTTCCTCTGCTCTCTGGGACACAAGAGACCTGCATCAGGCCTTCGAAGTCCCTGCTTCTACTGCACTGTGGAGGTAGTTTCCATTCTAGCCCCTACACACAGCTCTCACCAACTTCTTCTGCCTCTACAGAAGGCAGCTGCCAGTGACAGACAGTGAGTGCAGTCAGGACACTTTTAACCTACAGTCCTCCGGCCTCTTCTGTGCAGTGCGGGCTGGGGCACAGCCAAGGGTCTAGCAAGAGCCAAAGAGCCCAGGCCCATAAGGAGATTACAACATGCTCCTGCATCCAATTTGCCCAAAGAAAGCCCCGCTTCTGACAAAGCCCACCACAGACTTACACTTTATCTTCCCTCTTCACAGTCACAGCGATCTCTTTGATCTTGTTCACTGCCTGCCAAGAACAGAAGTTGAGTGAGTCCATCATGCCACCAACTGGAGGAGTGGATCCCAGCCTCTTGCTAGTCGCTAGTTTGTTTACTCCCACATCTTAAGCATTTCTATTCTACAGCTGAAACAACATCTCTAAGTCTTGGAGCCGCCCAGAAAAATGCAGATCTCTATCGTTTAGGAAACTGCCATAGTCTGAAACGCAGACTAGGTATATAGTTCTAAAGAACCATAAGCATACTTCCAGGATTTAGCTCTGGATATGCAGGTAACACACTAAAACAAATGAATAAAAACAAGCTATGACACCAGGCTAAGATAAACCTTCTGGCTTTTGAAAAACACCTATAATAACTTCTAGCACTTTGTATATTAGTCAGCTGTTATATAAGATGATATACACTTATCTTGCTTCTTACATCTCTCATCTGAATGCCACCACACTGAAACAGATAGTAAAGGAAGGCCTAGAGGGACTGACTTGTTCCAGGTCACAGAATGAAGGTCAGAGGTCAATAAAAGCCATGTCTCAAGATGTACTGTGAAGTACTTGATAACAACAAAAATAGGTCTCACTTACTGAGAGCCTATGATTTATCTACACGATAGACCATCAAACCTGAATTGTAGAACTGAGGCTCCCAGGGAGCAGATTCCGAAAATGTCCAAGGAAGTCTTCCCAGTCTCTCTACACCCGAGTATTTATTGCCCTAGGAGAAGTACGAAGGTGCCCTGGCACAAGGCCAAGTTAGCCAGTTCTCACATACCAAGTGGGTGGCGGTGCGGAAAGCTCGGATGATGATTTGTGGGTGCAAACCTTCCTCCACGTAGGGTTTCACTTGCTTCAAAAACTCTGCAGCCAGCAGGGTCACTGAGGTGGTGCCATCACCGACCTGGAAGAGGAAGACAGAACATTCATGTCTCCTCATGCTCAGGGATAAATCCCCCAAACCCCATTTTCATGCAATCTGCCCATTTAAACTGGGCACTGCTGAAATGGGCATGAAGCTTTACATGGAAGCACAGGTACTGCAACAAGCAGAAGGAGGGTGACGGGAGTTAGGTGTCCATCCCATCAAATGGTCCTGAGCTGCAAAATTAATTCCCCAGCCAGGCCCATTCCCCAAAGAGGACTGATCTGGACAGTTAAGTTTCCTTGGGATATGAAATCACACATGCAAATTATCTGAGAACTTACTTAGTACATACAAGGCACTCTAGTGAATAAGACAGTTATAATACAATACTTACACGTCACAGATAACCATGGCAGCAAGGGGCATAATGTATTCTTTTTTTAAAAAGAGATTTTATTTCTTTATTTTTAGAGAGAAAGGAAGGGATAAAGTAAGAAAAGGAGAGAAACAATGATGTGCAAGAGATACATCGATTGATTGCCTCTCACATGCCCTCAGCTGGGTACCTGGCCCACAACCCCGGCACGTGCCCTGACTAGAAATCGAAATGTCAACTTTTTGGTTTGCAGGCCAGCACTCAAACCACTGAGCCACACCAGCCACGGCAATAAACATATTCTTTAAGGAGTACAAATTAGTATAGGAATTTCAAAAAAAAAATACTTTTTTAAAAGATTTTATTTATTTACTTTTAGAGAGAAGAGAAGGGAGGAAGAAAGATAGGGAAACATCAATGTGATGCCCTCAACCAGGGACCTGGCCTGCAACCCAGGCATGTGCCCTAACAGGGAATCAAACCAGTGACCTTTTGGTTCACAGCCCACTCTCAATCCACTGAGCCATACCAAGCCCAGGTCAAAAAAATTTTTCTTTTCTAGCCAAATTCCTCTAAAACTAATCTCCTAGGACCAGCCAAAGTTCTTTATACATTAAACACTATTCAGAATAAGCAGACTACTAGCCTGCTAATCTTTCTTACATGTTAATTTTTCACAATGACATCTAAACCCTATTTTTAATGAATGAGAAAAAGAGTAAGAACTCTTAAGAAAACTGACTAACATAGGATTTGGAAAAATTTGGTTGCAATTTACTTATGAGGTCTGTCCAAGTCTCCAGCCATGTAATATGAAAACTAGAGACACTTACTGAAGTAGATACAAGAATAACTAAATGTAGGACAATGACGCCTCAGTCCTTCAAGTAGGCACCTTGGGAACTCCCAGTTTTCCCAGCATCTCTTTCTACTGTTCAATCCAGTGCAAAAGTCTTTCTTGGAATCACCATCAGCTGCCCTGTCACATTTTCCTGAATCTTACTGATACTTTGAAATCTCTCCCTTTCAAAAGGTGATGATACTTGTAGTTTTGGAAAAAGCCAGAAGTAGCAAGATGCTAAATCTGGGCTGTAGGGGGGCTGGGTCACCTGGGTGATCTGATGTTTCACCAAAAATTCTGCATGAGACGAGATGCATGAGTGGGTACCTTGTTGTGATGGAAGCTGCCAATCACAAGCTGCCCATAGGTGCAGATGTTTTCATCGTATTGCATCTCTCAACCAACGGAGAACACTGCAGTAGCACTCTTTATTGTTTGGTCTGGAGGGGCATACTCGTGATGGACACCTTCCCAATCAAAAACCACAATGAACATGGTCTAGAGGTTGCTACAACTTTGTGGTGCCTCCTTTGGGCATGGAGCACAAGGTGACTGACTTCTGTTGGGACAACTGGGCCTTCGTTTCCAGGTCATAGCTGTAGACTCACAATTCATCTCTGGTTATGACCTTCTTGAGGAAACTTGGTTTATTGTTAGTGGTTTGAATCAAGTCATTAGCAACTGCAGCACAATGTCCTTCTGCTCTGGTAGTAGAGCTATGGAACAAATTTTTCCATGAAACATTCCATGCCAAGATCCTGTGTCAAAATCTCAGACATGGTGGTTTTGAGAATCCCCAGTTCAGCTTCTAGTTCTCTCGCTGTCTGGCATTGGTATTTGTTGATTGTAGTCTGTACACATTCAACATTCTCAGGTGTTCTGCTTATTGCAGGCCTTCCAAAATGTGGGTCACTGTCAGTAGATTCTCCACTATCTTTGAAGCATTCGCCACACTTTGATTTATGCTGCACTCATTGCATCATCCCAAAAATCCTTCTGAATTATCCAAATAGTTTCCATAGAGAAATGTTCAAGCTTAATGCAAAATCTGATGCAGATTTGTTGCTCTACTTGCTCAGTCACTTTCAATGCGACAGCCACACAGTACACACACTCACTCAAGGCATATACAGCCCCTACTGACTAGTGTAGTGAAGTCCTCACTCTTCGCACATGTGCATTCCAGTCCACTCACCTTAGGGGCCAGACTACATTAATGTCATGCAAACCACAGTTGTTATATTAACAATGACTGGACTTTTTTCCAGGCAGACTGCATATACCCATTGTGTAATGTTGAGAATTCTCCATGGAGAAGGATTACTGTGACAAAGGGTTTCAGCAGCCAAACTCCTGGCCAGAAGCTATTATTCACTTGTTGAAAACATTAACAGGTCAAATCCAGACTCTTCTCACTTTAATTTTAGAAAAGTCACACTGTTTTATAGGCTACTGGGTCGTGACAAGCCTTTCACATAACTTCAGGACATACCTGCAATACCCTAAAACATAAACATGTTTCTCTCAACACTTATTATCAAGACTCCAATATTTGAAATGGTTTCTGTTAAAATAGTGAATTTTGTTATGTTTATTTTACTGCCATTATAAAATGGGAAACCAGAAAACTTAGGGTTTCCAGACCTTTTATTATTTTAATATTTAACAGTTTATTTTGAATGTCATTTTAAAAACAAAGTTAAAGAAAGCCTTGACTGGTGTGGTTCAATGGGTTGGGCACTGTCCTATAAACAAAAAGGTCACTGGTTCAATTCCAGTCAGGGCACATGCCTGGGTTGTGGGCCAGGTCCCCCATTGGGGGTGTTTTTTCCTCACACACCAATGTTTCTCTCCCTCTCTTTGTCCCTCACTCACCCCCCCCCCAAAAAAAAAAATAAGTAAATGCTCTGGCTGGTGTGGCTCAGTGGATTGAGTGCCAGCCTGCAAACCAAAGGGTCACTGGCTCCCAGTCAGGCTCAATTCCCATCCAGGGCACATGCCTGGGTTGTGGGCCAGATCCCGGGGGGGGGGGGCTCATGAGAAGCAACCACACAGTGATGTTTTTTCCTTCCTTTCCCCTCTCTAAAAATAAATAAATATTTTAAAAAAACTAAAATAAGTAAATAAAATCTTTAAGAAAACTTAAAGACAATCTGAGGAAAAAACTGCATCTAATACACTCATTAAATAAGTATGGTACCTAAACCAAAATAAGGAAGATGTTTTCTTCTGCACCTGCAAGAATAAGCTGTTATCCTGAAGGTTCTTACACTTGCCAAAAGAAAATAATGTCTACGAAAGCTGCCTCTCAGTCATGTAAATCTAAAGTAGAAACCAACATTTTCTGTTCTTCCCATTAAGTTAGTTTCGATCTTCAAACAGTGCCCTGTTTTGTAAAAGATATGCTAGAAATTCATTGGGATTTGATGGTCTTCCCTTTGCAAGCACAGCAAGTCCCTGCAATAAGACAGGCACAATTGTCTGATCCAGGTGGGCATCAGGTGGCAAAGACTGGAGACCCACTTTCTGTTTTGATTACTTTTCTGCATTCTTCTTCTTTCTACTATCCTCTTGACATTATCTGTGAGACCACACTCAGAGTAAGGATTTTCAGCAATCTGCATCCGTTCCTCCAGCATCTATCTGCTCTGGGTACATGGGAGACCCTGCAAGTCACTGTACCTGGACACCAGACCTCGCCTGAGCCGTGCGTTCCTAAGTGCCCTGCAGCGTGCGACCAACTCCCGGCAAAAACCAGTTCCGCCAAAAGTGATCCCAGGTGCATCCTATAAGGTTAAATTTATTTCCCTAGAAACTCATATGAATGACAACAACTAGTCCTAAGATCTCAGCTACAAGCAGTGGAATGGTACAAATTTTAACAGATTAATTGCTTCTATATATTTTTATAAGTACGTATTACTTTTGAAATTATAATTTTAGGTATAAAAAAATCACAGCTTTTAGAGAGCAGCATGAAGGAGCAAGCAGGCATGTGTTTCAACCTCCACTTAAACATTTCTGCTTCATTTCCTTACCTCGGCATCTTGGGATTTGGCGATGTCCACTAAAGTCTTCGCTGCAGGGTGGACGACGTCAAGGAGTTTCAGAATTGTGGCCCCATCATTAGAAATTGTGGCTTTTCCTTAAAAGGAATGAACACAAAGTAAAAATTTAAAGACCCTTTCTTAAATTCTGTCTTATAGTTGGACTGGGAGTTCACGCACCCTTTACTGGGATGCGGCAGTGGGCACCATGGTGGGAATACGCTGATGTTTTCATAGAGTTCTGTTTACAAAGGGCCACCTAAAACCACAAGCTTCCAAAGATTATGAGCCCCTACTTTTCTTTGAGCAGCATTTAGCATGCCTCTGATGTAGATAACATTTTTTAAATGAGAATGAATAATCATTTAGGTATTAACATTAATTAATGAATACCCTAGTATCTCACATCAATTAATACCCTAAAACATAAAAGGGAACTTATTCTTTGTCTTGACAACATGATACAATGGCAGTGACCACCGGTAATGCCAGATGGTTCAATGTCATGTTTCTCTACTGTTTCTCTCTACAAATCAACTGCCTCCTGAGCCCAACTTCTCCTATGTATTCCCACAGGGCTCAGCATTCAAGACCAAGCATGCAACGCAGCCACTTCATAGTGAGAAAGCTCTGAAAAGCACTGAGTTTTCTGATGCAAACTTCTGCTGGCCCAGCATTCCCCAGAAGCCTCCTGTCCTGCAACACTGGCCTAAGGAATCCTGCAGACTCACCTCGGCCATCCACAATGAGCTTGTCCATGCCACGGGGGCCCAGGGTGGTTCTCACGGCCTCTGCAATCACCTGGCAGGCACTGATGTTACTTACAAGCTGGGGAATGCCTTGGGAACTATCAGTCCCTTCTTTCAACAGGATAACTGGTGTGGGCTGAAAAGAAAAAACATCTATTACAATGAGGCTCAAGGAGGAAGGGTGAGGAAAAATGCTCCATCTCCCCACTAACAGGAATATCTGGAGGTCTTTTTAAATTGCATTCCGCCACTGTCCACCAGATCCATTCCTTAAACAACCTCTATTTCCAGAGACATTGCCAAGACCACGGCAAACCTGGTATGTGTGCTAGAAAATGGTTTGAGAAACAATGATTTTGTTTAAAGGAAGAAATTAAGGAGTAATATGTTCTCTAGTGCCCAAGTGAATGAGCGTGGCCATTTCAACTTCTGACCCCACTCTGTGCTGAAGAATTGGGTCAAGGAACAGGAGGAAGCAGCGGGCCATGCTCAGTGTTCACCCTCCAGCAAAACATCCACTTATCTGCATTACAGCTTAATCTAGAGAAATGGGGCCCTGGTGCGAAACCCGAGGTGCCAATAGCTTCAGGGGCTGTTCTGGAGATTCCTAGACAGGCAGCTTTGCCAAGGATGTTCAGCTGGAGTGTAGGGAAGCAGTCGGGCAGAGAAGCAAAGAGCACCTTTGTTCTGCCTCACAAATGACAACACGTCTAATCCACACAGCACACACATTTCCATTTCTCATGCTGGCTCCATAAAGATTCCTGTGACTCATCTCCAATCCGATACCCCGGAGAAGTTTTTCTCTTCCTACTTTGCAATGGCCTCCAAAACAAGTCATTATCCCTATAGAAGTTTAATTTGCAGGCTTGCTTTAGCAACTTTGGAAGACAAGAATACGTGCTTAAAGGGCCTGCTTTAATACCTTTGCCCCAGTGACCACTAGCACAGACAGGAATTCCTCAGCGGAGCAAGCCAGAGTTCTTCGTCCTGCATAAAGCTTGTGCCTTCAGGAATGAGCTCATGAACCAGATCCAGTCTTCCAATTGACTGTGACTGATTGTGTGTTTGTATGACACAATATATTAAGGGTAAACAGTTTCAAAACTTCCGTTATATGTGTGCTATTAGGCTATGATTTAAAATTTATAGCTACTGCTCATGTCCAGCCCTAGGGGTACTTCAAGTGTCTGAGCAGGACAGACACAGGACAGCTCAGGGCTGTCTCACTCTAACAATGAGGAGTCGAGGATTCACACACCACCAAGTCTAGTTACCTGTGAGGATGACACCATCATATGAACTGGACAATTCCTTTGGCCAGTGAAGCTGGAGGATAGTGACTAAGCAGAAGGTTGGAATAAGGCTGAGGCATGCAAAACACAGACCACACACTCACCTGTAGACTGTATTAAGGGGTTTGTATTTCACTCCTACAAAGGGAAGCCCTGGAAAGACTTGCAGCGGAGGAATGGTGTAGTCTAACTTACATTAAAAAAAAACAAAAAACCCACTTAGAGCCTTGGCCGGTGTGGCTCCGCTGGCTGGACCATCGTCCCACAAAGGAAAGTCTGAGGGTTTGATTCCTAGTCGGGGCACAAACCTAGGGTAAAGGTCCAATCCCAGTCCAGGAACACGCGATCCCTGCACCAGGCGTGCATGGGAGACAGCCAATAAATGCTCATCCCTGGCATCAGTGTTTCTCTCTATCTCTTTCTGGATGCCCCCAAGTGAGGAAAAAGTAAACAAGTTAAAATTTAAAAAATCACTACAAACTAGTTAAGAAGAGGCAAGATATAATGTGCAAATGCATAAAAAAGAGGCTAAAGATGCCCAACAAAACTCCAATGAGTGAGCGTGTAAGAAGTTGTATCTTTGCGGTCTTGTTCCGGCTTTTTCCTAATGAGCATATCACACATTACTTTTTCTTTTCTTTTTTTTTAAGAATGCCTATTAGATAACCCCTAAATCTGCTACCAGGCATGGACTGGAGACAGGGCAATTCCTTCCCTTTTCGTGGTAGTGTTCCAAGTCTCGCAGTGAGAAACAGCTTCTTCACAGTCTCGGCACTCCGTTGGGACCCTCGCAACTTCTAAGACAGACACATCACCTGAAGGCCCCACCTTCTCCCAGTCCCAACTAAATCATTCCTCACGGCTGCCTCAAGTCTTCTCTGGTCTACCTCTGCCCCAGGTAAAGAACTGAGTTTAAATCAAAAACCAACTTGAGTCTCGAATTCCTCCCTACTGCCTTGAACAGATTCTGGTCTCCTTCCAACAGGCTTAGCCAATACTTTTGCGGACCTTTTCTCACCTCCACCTCCAAACCGTGCCCCCATCTACAAGAGCCACCTGCCACTGCTACCAATATACTCTCCTACCGCCAGGCCAGCAGTTCTTCACAGCCCCAGTTCCAGGAGGTTTCCTCACCGCACCCACCAGAGGCATCGTGGACAGGGGAGCCTGTTCACAGCTTTTATACTGCCATCCATCCGCCCGTCCTTCTCTCTCTCCCCTTCCTTCCTTCCGAGTTGGCCGAGTGAGCAACTTTATTCTTATAACCACTGATAACATTCAAAGTCAAGCAACTCTATAACATAATGTATTTTACTGAAATTTCCTGTTGAGGGAAGATCCCTTCCTGACTTTTCTTCACAAACTTTCAGCACCCATGACACATTTCTTGTCCAGTACAGTGGTGTTTCACTTGGCCCTGTACGTTAGGAGAAACTAATCAGGAAGAATTTCCAATTCACCTCATTGTGGTTTTCCGCAGTTTTCTTTCTTCTACAGCTGGTAACTTTCAATGGAGACTGCACTCTCAGGAAAGCCTCTATTTCTTCCTATGTGTACTCATCTCGGTGTTCAGGTACTTTCTGTGGTTGTGGAAGCTCTTCCACTAAACTCTTGAGAAATCTTTTGGTGTACCCTCGTCTTGGAAAAGATGCGACCTCTGTGTCACAGTTCTTCTGTGAAGGTTTTTGTTAGCATGCCGTAAATGACTACTTTTACAATTCCTTCTGGATCCTGCTGGGGAAGTGAGCAGCAGTTACTTGTTCAAATCCACCTGGGTAACCGGTATGTGACGAGTGTACTTTCTGTTCCTATTTGTTTCCAGAAAGCGCAATGCGCCTTGTGTTCCTCATGACAACATGATCACTGCAGTTGCTCTGTTGAGGCTGCACAGGTTTGTGACCCTTGGTTTAATTAATGCCACAGTGGCAATTTTGCCATGATGCTGCATTTTCCCATCTGTAAGATATCAAACTCAAGCACAACTGGCCCACTGCTGGGACTCTCTACAGAAACTTGTTTCCTCACTAGGAGCTCGGTCCTCCTTTCTCCAGTGCCCAAGGCCAGTCTGCAACATCACTGGCCCCTGCCATCCTTTCTTAAAGTATGAGCTTCCCAAAGGTAAGGAAATAATAACAATCTCAATTTGTAGCGTGCTTAGATTTGGCCACACACGAAGCAATGTTCAGCAGCTTTTCGTGCTGAAAATGCAACTGTTAAATGTACATACCAGAAAGTGCTTGATATTAGCAATGAAGTAAGATAGCACTGGCTTCTTGACTTATTTTTGGAAAAGCACTGGCAGTATGATGACACCAGATAGACTGAGAATTCTTAAGGATAAAGCAGGAAGGGGTGGGAAGCAGATGACCACACCCCAGTTCCCTACTCTTTGTAGGCCCTAGAGAAATGGTAGGCTGACCCAGATCCTGTGAGGAGGGAAAGGTAGCAGGCGCAGCTGGAATAAGGCATCGAGCAGGATGAGTCCTCGTCTATCAGCTCCCTAGAGGCAGGCACGGCTTTGCAAAGCCCAGCTTCTGCCCCCAAGTTA